AGAGTCTGGGTCAGCAGTTCGGGTGGGACTGAGAACACACCCTTCCAAGTTCTCTAGGGATGCCAGTGCCACTGGTCCAGGGCCGCACTTTGGCTCTGTGCCTGTGACAAGCATGTGCCTGTCTTCCCCAGGGAAAGAAATGAGATGACGCCTGGACCTGGAGGGGACAGAGGGGAGCTCTGGCCTCTGAGAAGCCGGAATTAGGACTAAGGTCAGTGCAGGCGGGGAGCCCTACTCGCCACTCCTCCTGTGCAGATGCCCAGCGCGGCCAGGCTAGTCCAGGACTGTCTCAGCAGCCCTCCCTTAGCCTGGCTGTCCATCTATGACTCCACTGAACAGACCCAGCGCTTTCCCTCCCAGAACTTCCATCTCCCCATCCTTCCTCTACGCCCTGAATCTTACCTTCTCCTTGCTGGAGAAGATGTAGCCTCCCGCTAACTCCGGGAAAGCACCCGTACATCTACACTCAGACAGGTGCAAGGACATTCCTTACAATACTATTTGTAAAATCAAACAGCTGGAAGTATCCCTCTGTCTGTCAGTAGGGCCACTATTGAACAGGCTTTGATAAACACCTGCTTCAGAATATCACGCAGCAATTAAATTACGGGGCAGTTCCAAAGGAACGATGCAGATCATCTCCAACATGTTATGAGAGGAAAACTGCAAACTGCAGAGCAATAGGCACAGGATGATCTCATCAAGAAAGACATTAAAGAAAAAAAACAGCACAAAAAATATACATTTTTGATAGTCTTTTTTAAAGAAAAGGAGGAGATACAGATATTAAAACCATTGACTGTTTCTGGACAGAAAACCATGATGGTGATTTGGCCAAGGAGAACTTCTATTTCATCTATATTGTCTGGATTTAAAAAAAGGGACCAGCAGTTAGGGTAAGGGCTAGTTCGTTGGACTCCCACGTAGTCAACCGTGGATCGCATCCCGGACCCAGTGGCTTAAACTCACTCCAGGCGCATTGTGTGCGTGCCCAAGATCCCGAGAAGAGAATGGAGAAGAAGGGATTGCAGCGTGGCCATCCCCCCTGGGGGGTGATTTCTCGCTTTCTGTCTCTCTGTCTCTCTCTGTCTGGCAAGCGAACATGCCAAAATAAAAAGTATGGCAAAAATAGGAAGCTGAGTTGGGCGACATGAACTCCTGCAATATCCTGCCCTGAGCCCAACATCATCCTTATTTCCTTTCCTTTCATCTCAAAAAAAGCATCCCTTTTTTCTAAGGTTTATTATTATTCCAAGAACCAATTGATCCCTGAAACGTACCCCAGCGTCTGTCTCCTTCACATCTTTGCTCTCCAGCTGTTCTCCCCAGCGGCTGGCACCCCTCCAGGCTGTTTTCAGAGCCCTGTGCAGCTCTCAGCCCACTGCCCATCTGAGCTGGGGACCTTCCCTTCTCACTGCCCCTCCATATCACAGATACCGGCCTTTCGCTTCCTCCAAAAAGTTTCTCTTGACATTTTCACGGGAATTACATAAAAATTAGAAACTGACTTGGGAGTTGTCATTGCTGCTGTATTTGGAGAGCTTTGATGATTCTGCACGTGTCCGACCCTCGTTTACAACTCTGAAGAAATGTTTCAATCACTTAGATCAGGTGCCTACCTCATCAGACCTATCACTAGAGACTGGCACTCTTTTAATATGACAAATGACATCTCCATTTGCACTGTATTCCCTAATTAATTACTGCTGCCTTTTGGAAAGGCTATCCTTTTAAATAATGGGGGTCACCTTATAGAACTCTTTTATTCTCAGAGATTTGATCATCTTGAGTTTAGTTCTATGGCATTTGAGTGATTTTCTCCAAGATTATTTTTTATTTATGATTCATTTCTTATTTAACTGACTTCCAAAGTTAAGTCATAATGGTGGTACGTATCTTTCCTAATTTTTGTTTCAAACTGTGCGATGATTTGCTTATAAAAGCATACTTTTACTAGAGTTTATGGCCAAAATAATGCTTTTTTTAAAAAATCTTTCTGGCATTTTTTTAGAGCGAAAAAAAGGATGCTGATTGTCATCAAATTATTTAGGCATCTTTTGGCTTTACTTATGGTCTATTGTTACCTTCCTTCATATTTACCTTTTGCTATTAGGATATATAGTACTTAGTTCTAGTGAATGATAGATTTTATGTGCTATAGGATTCAACTTGCTAATAAAATTTTGTTAAGATTGTTTGCATCTATAGTAGACATTCAAAAATCATGACTTATGTCTAGAGACTATCATAAAATTCCCAGATGTCCTGTACCAAACACACTAAAAAGACACATGCTTAACCACCTTTTTTTTTTTTTTTCAGTAATGTTAACAGCACTTTTTAGCTTTCGGGCTTTGTTTTTAAGATTTTTGCCAGAGTGCACAAGAACTCACCAGAGAGAGACAGAGAGGGAAAGTCAAAAAGCAGCCCATGTGGGGAATGGTCATGCTGCAATCCCTTCTACTCCATGTCTCCCTCCTGTCAGGACTTTGGGCACACACACACACACACACACACACACACACACACTGCCTTGTGTGTTCCTCAAGCTGATGTGGTCAGCCATGTGGGATCCAGCCACTTTAACCACCAGGCCACAGGCTGACCCACATGTCTTAGCTTTCTTAGGAATCGCATTTGAATCTGGTAGCATTTGTTTCTTGGGAGTACATCTTCGTAAACAGACTTGGTCACAATCCTTACTTAAATACCCCTGAAAGCCGGCTCTGAGAATGTGTCTGAGGCGTGAGTCCAAGAAGCAGGAGGTGGAGCAAGGCAAGGAGACTGAGGAACAGAAAAGCCAGTGAACAGTAAATTAGCAGACAACGTGGTCTCAATCCCAGGACCACCTAAGAAACACGGAGTGCATACCTCATATGACCCTTCGGGAGATGGTCCTTTGGAGAGATGAGTGTTGATGCTGACATCTGGGTGCCCGCAGCTCGAAGGCTGCCCGTTCTTCCAGTCTGCACTGTCTGGAAGCCAAGGGGTGGTCCAGGGCCCAGCAGCAGAGGAAGTCACAGGCAAGCCGTGTTGTCAGGCGGGAGGTGACATCACGAGTGGGAGCCATCCCCACAGCTGCAGCTGAGCACAGGAGCATGGCTTGGTTTCCAAGCGCCTGTGACAACCAGCCTTCCTAAAGAGCCTTTCTAAAAGTCTAATTTCCCACTTTATGGGAGACACTTGCGACTGTAAAGTACTCATAAAATTTCCCTACTAGCGTCTGCCAAAAGATCTACAGACTGTGTGGTGAAGTTGTTCTGACGGATGGAAAACTTAACAGGGAAAGTAACTGACTCCTTGGAGTGATTTTATCCCGACTCCCTGCTGGTCCACATGCGACTACAGGCATCTTTCAAAGCCCCTTTTCTCCCTTTTCCCTAGGTGGGGTTTATCTTTACCTCGATACATGTATGGAACAAACTGTGCTGACAATGCCCATCCTGACAATGCCAGCCCAGTGCTGAGCCTGCCCTGAGACACACCCACCCCTCAGTTCACCTCTGACCCACCCCATCCTCTTGAGTGGATTGAGGAATGGAAAAATATCAGACAAGAGAATGAGATGTTTGTAACTTGCATTACTTGGCAATGAAAGAAGTTGCAAATTTTATGAGACTTAGGAGCCACGTGGCATGTCCCCAGAGCAGTAGGGATACATCCTCCTGCCCTGAAAGCCCCTCATAGTTTTAGAAATCTCCAAAATCTACCCAAGCATCACCTCTGGGTTTCACTCAATCCTGCTTTGGGCACCCACATGTGATGGTCACATAATCACATAAGGTGACAGGTGTGGCTTTTGCAGATGAGGCAGAGCAGAATGTGCAGACTCTAACTTGTCAGTCTCTGGGGCCTGTTGGCCTAGAGAAATTCCTGACATGCAATGAGCATCAGGTGAGTCCCTGGAGAACCAGCAAATTAGCCTGGGGAGCTGCCACTGTGGCTCAGTCCCTCACCTCTGGTCTTGGTTTAAATATCAACATCTCAGGGAGGCCTTTGGTGACACCCTTCCTAAAGTAGCAAATCGTGCTGTAAACCCTCCCTTCCTGCTTTCTCTGATTTTTTTTTCTCTCCATAACACTTCTCATCATCTCATATTTCACTCACCTGCAGTCTGTCTGTCCTTCTAAAATGTAGCTCCATGGAGGCAGAGTTTTTGCTAAGTATCGCAGAAGTCCAAATATCTGAATCAGGGCCTAGAACATAGAGTTCCTCAGTCATTTATGTAGTAGAGAGTGAATAAATACAAGAATAGAAGAGTCGTCATCATGGCCCAGCGGTGGTGGTGCGGGCAGTTGGGTGCCGCTGTGCCACAGCCATATGGGAGGTCCCTAGGTTTGGATCCAGGGTCGGCCTGAGTAGCCACGGGCACACGTGTATCCTGGCTGATGAAAGACTGAGGGGAGTGGTGTGGAGTGGCAAAGCCCTGTCTGCAGTGCATTCCGGTATCTCTGTCTTTCTTATAAAGAAAGAAATTTTAAAAAATTTATTACTTGTGTCCTAGAAAGAGGTTACATTTTTCTCAGCTGATGCTTTGAGACATAGATTTTTAAAATACCAGCACATGTCTACAAGGCAAAACTAGCAAGTTAGGTATAAGTTTGAGGAAATGTAAGGGCAAATAAATCATTAGAGAATGTTGGACTATTTTCTGATTCCGGATAAAGGTTAGAAAAGAGGGAATAAGAAATACCCCAAAGCCATGTGGCCCTGGTGACCAGATTTCAGGGAAACCAGCTCCTCCAGTGGGTATTTAGATCCTCACCACAGGAAACTGTCTGAGAAATAAGAGGCGTCCTTCTTCCCCAAGCACACAGCAAAGTGGGATGTGAACTGACACCGTGCAACCCGACCACAGGGTGCTCAGTCTGAGGAGCCAGCTCGAGGAGACTGGCTGGGCTGCCTGGAGTAGGTGGGACTCTGGGCAAAGATATTTTTGCAAGGTCCTTGTCTATATAAACAAAGGTATTCAAAGATTCCTAGGACTTTTCAACATTTTCTACCACTCTTTTTCAGAAAATGTCACACTGGAGTCTGATTGACAGCCTGCTACACAGAAGCCGTCCTGTTGATGGGAACAGAAGAGCTGAACCCAGCTGAACCCAGGTATGCTCCAGACACCTACCCACTGTCGGGCTCTGACAGAGTCTTTGCTTGACTGAACTTTAGTCAGACACCTGAATCTCCTTCCAGTTCCATTTGTGCTCTTCTTTTTCAAATATAAGATAGCTTTAGCAAGAGCCCCACAAAGTCAGTTTGGTAAGCCCTCCACCCAAGAACTGATCACCATTGATATCTAATTAGATTCCTCATCCCCCATCAATTCTCAGGTGGTATCTGATCTTCCTGGACCATCTCCAGCAAGAATCTGGTTTGGTCAGTTTAACGAGGATCTCTCTGACCTCTAATGCTTCTTCTTAGTTATTTTTCATTCACCAAACTTTACTCTGTTCCTGAGCTAGAACTCCCTGCCTGCCCTTGCTGCAGAGCTGAGCCCAATCTCTCCCCCTGACTGCAAAGTCCTATGGCAATGGTCCTGAGTAAAGTCTCCTCAACTGCGCATTAAGCCTCATGAGTCGCTCTCTCTTACAGTTCCTCTAGTTACACCGTGGAGGAAAGCACTGCCACCCAAACCGAATGAGCAAATTGATAATCACTGAATGGTGTTTACTTCAAAATTCAATTTGCTAAACAGGATAAATACAGGAATGATGTGTATTTATACTCAAAACCACAGGATGCCTGTGGGTCTCTAACGGGCACTGACAAACAAATAGGCAGACATGTGTTATCCATTTTGAGGGGTGGGTCATTCCTTCACTTAAAAATTGTGTTTCATGGGGCCAATAGATGGCATGGTGGTTAAGGAGTTAGATCCCAGATGACTGAATCCGTGACTCAAGTCCCTGATCTAGCACCCTGAAAATCATGCTGGGCATATGTGTGTGTGTGTGCCGAAAATCCCAAGAGGGAAATGGGGGAGAAGCAATAGTAATGTGGCCGTCCCCCTTGGGATGTGATTTTTCTCACTTTCCCTCTTTCTGTCTCTCCCTGGTGAGTACACACATATACACCCTATGGCAAAAATACAAAATGAAACAAAAGCAATAGTGCTTCAATCTTCTTTAAACTTTTAAAAAGAAAGTTCTAGAATTGGGGATCAGAAAATGGCATAATGGTTATGTCACTGGACTCCATGTGGTCAACCAAGGTTCAAGGCCCAGTCCTGGTGGCTTAAAACTCACACAGGGCACAGGTGCCTGAACGCCCAAAATCCTGAGAGGAGAATGGAGGAAAAGGGATTGTGGTGTGGTCATTCTCCCTGGAGAGGGGGGGTAATTTCTTGCTTTCTGTCTCTCTCAGTCTCTCTAGAGAGCACATGTGCCCTACAGAAAAACAAAACAAAAAAAACTCTGAAAGAAAAGAGTTCTAGAATTTAGTCAAACCTCACATTTTCATAATAATCTTTCCATTTCTAAGAATGACTAACCTTTGCAAAATTTGCTGCATTCTTCTTTTGTTTATTAAAGCATCCTGTTTCACATTAATTATCTCTTTTTGCTATCTTGGAAGGAACTAGGGCAGAGATTTATATTATTATTAAGTGAAATGGTACCTCTTTTTTTACAGGGAAAAGAATCTAAATCTCAGAGAGGTTACGTGGCTTGCCTGAGGTCACCTAGAACACACCCTCTTTCTGTTGCCTCTAAGTGATCTCAGGAATAGCACCAACCCCAGACCCCAGCATGTGAGCTTAGCTCTGTTTCTACCTCTCAAACCATCCTGGACTTCTTTTTGGGTTTCTGTGCTCCTGAACTACATCATCTTGCATTTCTGTCCTTGCTCATAGGTATATAGTTGATTCTGAAACTAGATCAGGGCTCATTAACTATACAGACCAGAAAAAGGGTCTGCAGAAAAAGTGAGCTTATCATTCTGTCTCTCTATAAAGCCACCACCTAAGGGTGTGGAGCATAGGTGCTGCCGACCTCCCGCCCTAGGAGAATGAATCAATAGTGTTTGCTCCATAGTCTCTTAAGTCATTGGAGGGAAGCCCAAGACTGCCCTGAGGCTGTCTTTCTGTAGCACAGATGTGGGGGGATACTGCATGGTGTCAGTACCCTACAAAGCAGTAACAGATCCCTGCTCAGGCTTGCCAAGTTGAAGCAGACATCCTTCTCTCTCCAAGAACCCAAGCCAGGCACTTGGTGTTTCTAGAAATTTCCATAGTGATCATAAATTCTGCAGTTACCGTGGATACTGTGTCAGGTCATCCCATAAGTGGCTACTGGGATACAAATTCCCCCCATTATGTACCCAGTAACTGAACAGACTTTTCATTTCTTATTCTTGCAGACACACATTTATTCACCTGCTGCGCCTTGACTGTGGTCACACTGTGAGTTACCAGGACTGAGGGGAGTAGCTTGAGTTAGGAGCTCATAGCTGATGTAACCCCCTAACTAATACATTGCAAAGTGCCCTGGTCTAAAATTAACACAGCTTTGCTATTTGTGTACCAAAGAGATAAAAATTCGTTTCTTCAGGATGTCAGAGACAGTATGACAGGAAGTTGTATAAGATTAATTGGGCACTTAAAAAAAAAAAAAGAAAAGAAAGAAAGAAAGAAAACTGTTAAGGGACCAGCAGTTAGCATAATGGCTATATCTCTGGTCTCCCACATAGTTGATCGCTGTTCAGGTCCCGGACCCAGTGGCTTAAATTCACGCTGGGTACATGTGCGTGCGTGCCCAAGATCCTGAGAGGAGAATGGAGGAGAAGGGATTGCGGGGTGGCCTTCCCCCCGGGAGGCAATTTCTCTCTTTCTATCTCTCTGTCTCTCTCTGTCTTTCTGGCAAGCACACATGCCTTATAGCAAAAACCTCTAAGAAAAAAAAGATTAATTAGGCACTAATTAATAATGAAAAGGAGGGATTACCTGGGCAGAGGAAAGGCAGCGGGACGTCAGCAACGAACCCACAGACCCATGGCCTGAGAGCACGCTGTGAGGGCTGAGCCTGCTGCGAACACGGAGGCCAAGAGCTGCTGCCAGGGGAGTTGGCAGGGCAGATGGAGAAGGCCGCAGCTTGAGCCTGTGGGAAAGCAGGCTCAGGAGTCAGAGCACCGGGTGTGAGAGCGGAAGAGCTGTCGTGATGTATCTTCTATCTGCCAGAGAAGGTTCTCTTTAGATTTTTTTTTCTTTTTTCTTTTTTTTTTATTGGGAGTGGCAGAACTTAAAATAAAAATGGCGGGCAAACTAGTTGGCATGGTGGTTAAGATGGCTAGATCCACATGGCCAACTGTGCAATTCGAGTCCCAGACCTAGTGACTTTAAAGACATACTGGGCATGTGTGAGTGTGTGCCCAAAATCCCAAGAGGAGAATGAAGGAGAAGGGGAGTATCCCCAGTGGGGAGTGCTTCCTCACTTTCCCTCTCTTTTCCTTTATCTCTTTCTGTCTCTATCCAGCGAGCTCACATATCCTACGGCAAATAAATAAATAAACAAATAAATAAATAAAGGCTTACCCACAAACTAGTGTAAAGGAGCAAACTTCAGATATAGTTGTACCCAGGCACTCAAAAATTTTACCATGAATCTCTCTCAGCTCTCCTTTCACTCTCCGTGGTGCTAGGGTTACCACCCACAGACTTACAGTTTGCTAACTTAGTGACAGCCGGCGACAGCTTCTCCTGTCGGAATTTCTGTGAACGTGCCATGGCCGGATCCCATTACAGTAGCACAGGTTGTCTCCAGCCCTGAAGAAGTCAGTGTGATTAGAGGGTGGACTATCCTGATTAGCTGTTCCTGGAACTAAGGACAGGTAAGATGGAAAGGAAGAGGACGAGAAGCCCATGTGGACAGATTAGGAGACAAACATCTTCCATAGAAAACCAAGGTGCCATTCATGAAAGAAAACATGGATTCCAGGCAGATGAAACAGGCCACTGTACGCATGCTGGGAATTCACCTCCTCTTTTTTTTTTTTCCTTTTTTTTTTTTTTTTGGGGGGGTTTTTGTTATAGTCTTTTTTTTTTTTTGGAGAGGTTTTTGCTATAGGGCGTATGCGCTAGCCAGAAACACAGAGATAGACAGAGAATCAGAAAGCGAGAAATCACCCCCCAGAGGGGATGGCCACATCGCAATCCCTTCTCTTCCTTTCTCCTCTCAGGATCTTGGGCACACACGCACATGCGCCTGGCGTGAATTTAAGCCACCGGATCCAGGACTTGAACTGCAGTCTACTACATGGGAGTCCAGTGACATAGCCATTATGCTAACTGCTGGTCCCTTCACCTCCTCTTCACAGACTGAGAGACACTTGAATCCTCGAACCCTTCAACACTCTATTCTTTCTATTGAGCCAAAACTTAATTTTTCCTATCTGTGAATTTGCTTCCAGATCTTAATGGCATTTATAAACCTTGGACTTGTCTCAGGCAAACATAACATATGATATGATGAAGTCATTCAAGGATCCACACCTGATTTGCTATGTGTCCCCACTGTAGCCTTTCACACATATGTATATGTGTTTAATTTATAGCATTTTTCTGGCAAAGCATACCTTGCTTTGGTGAATGGATGAAAAAAGCGTTCTTTCTTGCAGTCACACGCACTCTCCTGTCTTGATCCGTTTAGGTGTGTGATTAGGGAAGGCCTGCTAGTCAAACAGCCCTCGTGAGACAGATCTTAACAGCCACTCATCCTGAGATGACAAAATGTATGGAGAAGCTCCTGACATGATTTGAAAAGTCACACCCAAGGCCCCGTAGTCTGAGCACGAGCCTCTCCTTGTGTCAGCCAGCAGACACTGCCTTTGCAAAGCTGAGGGCTCCTCCCGTGGTGGAGAGGACAGAACACAAACAGAAGTGGATATTTGATGAGCTTTTCTCTGGGCCACTCTTTACTGGCAGTTCTTGCTCCCAAGTGAGAACAGCTCCACACAAGACTCAAGATAGCAAAAATTATTATGTACCATGGAACCCTAGAGTCACCTGGGAGTCGCCAGAACCACTATTCTGGTCACTCCTGCCAGGGTCTACAGCACTGACAGCCCAGGGGGCTGACAATCAACCTTTCTTTTCAGTCAGGACCTCAGTCTGTTTGAAGACCATCCTGGGAGCCCAGGAGACCTTCTTAAACAGAATAGCCCCTTCACTGAGAACCCAAAGAACCTATGGGTAGGCTACCGTCTTCCAGACAGGATTTCAGATGAAGATGCCCTGGCCCATGGAGTAAGGAAGAGGCCTCCCAAGTCCCCCATGTTCAAGAGCTCAAAGCCTGGATACTGACCAGAAAGGACTGAAACCAACTAGCCTTCCTCTAGCCAACACTTAGCACACGCTACTGCATGCCAGGTACTTCTCAAGCATGGCAGGGCACTCAGAGCCCCAGACAGCAGTCGCCAGAGAAAACCCAGCCCCAGCAGGGTCCATGGCAGGGTGTAAGGGACTGCATCCAGCACTGTGGGGAGCAGGGAGGGCCCGGTAACTGAAGACGTCCCGGAGAGGTCAGGCAGTACACACGCAGGGTCACGAGAGGACCTGCGGTGTCAGGCACCTGCAGGAGAGTGTGCAGTCTAGAGTGGGGTGCACACTTGGGCCAGGGCCCCTCCGTCTTTCCTGCTCTTTCCCCTTTCCTGGGTGTCTGGCAGCTCACTTCCCTCTCCCCTTGGCCTTCTGAACACAGCCAGAAGAAACGGTGAGACCAGGCCAGCCAGTGGTGTGGTGGTTAAAGCAACGGATCCCACATGGCCGACCAGGCAGTTGGAGTCCCGGCTGCTTTTAAACATTCCCAGCACACGTGTGTTCCTGACCCCAAATTGTGAGGGAATGGAAGGGAAGGGACTGTGGCATGACCATCCCCTCTGGGCATGTGGGGGGTGATTTCTCACTTTCTCTCTGTCTCTGTCTCTCTCCAGTGAGCACACATACCCTATAGCAGAAACTTTAAAAAAAAAAAAGGCACGCTTCATTCTGCATTGGAGTCAGACTCATATGCTCAGCTGCAGTCGGCCCACTGGCTGCCTGTGGCTCTGGGTGCCACCGTTTTGTGACAGCCACTGCTCTGCTGTTGAAGGGCCCTGGCGTGTGAGTTGGGAGCAGAGTCCTTCCATGAGTCACTTGAGTCACTCCTCTTCCAGCTCCATTTCTGGCCTGCTGGAGGGAGGGGCTGAGCTCCCTCCAAGCCTTTCTTGTGTGTCCATAATCAACACTTTCTATGCCAGAGGCCAAGGCCGTGGGCCAAATCAGATGTTGCTAATCATCCATGGCCACAGAATTGGAAAGCAGCGACATCGGGGCACATGCCGCTCCCCCGCCACACAGCATGCACTGCGGCACAGCCCTCCTATCGGCAGGTGATGCGCTCAGAGCACGAGAATCTGTGGCCCCGACTTGCTCCAAACCAGCCATGAAAGTTCCAACCACACACTGGCTCTCCATCACTCTGGTTTCCCAGCAAGACCTCCTCCTCATCACAGCATGTCCCAGATGATCTCTTGAGGTCCGGTCCCCACAGACAGCTCCCCCAGTGGTTTCTGGGAACTGAAAGACAGTCCTGGAACCTGGGCCAAATAATTTTCCCTGGAGAGCAGAGTTCCTCTGTGAATGGATAACCTTGCCTGGCCAGCTCATGCACTGAAGGAGGAAGCCCAGACCACGGAGTGCCAAGGGGATGAGCGCTTCTGCCTCCATCAGGCATGCCACACTCATTGCCACATGGTCATTTACTGTGTGGGGAACCAGTAACTGCTGTTGCAAAACCACTTTCTCCAGCTGTCTGCAGTCTTAGTCAGGGAAGCGTGTGTCTCCAGCCTGCCTGGGGGTGTCCTGGCAGCCCTGAGTGTGCCTCAGCCCAGCCCGTGGGCTGAATGGAGGATGGGCTGACCTTCCACACTGAGTTCTCCTGTATGAATCAGGGCAATTGTGGTGACAAAACACCAACCTACTAGGTCCCAGTTCTGGAGTCTGGGCAGGAACAAGACATTTCTTGAGCATTTGTCCCAAGTGCTATGTTTTCATGGGGTGGAATGTTTGCTCAGAATTCTAGATTGACTAAGAATCCTGCCAATTTGACTTGGCTAACCCAGGATTCTCAACACATGCCATTTTAAGGGAGGAAATTTCCTGCCATTATTGGCTTAATTCAGTAATT